ATCTCTCACTGGGGTGGGACGATTACATTAGCGTTTGTGCAGCATTCTGATGTTTTATAAAAACAGATAAAAGGAATAATGGAGAGGGTACAATTAACTGACAGTTCTTGTCATTCCTCTCCCCACTTTGGTCTCCTAATGAAAGGAAGGATACAGTATATGAGATTATGTACTTCTGACATCATTAGGTCTTTCTGGTGCCATTATCTTTCAATAGTAGTTACCCAATAGGAAACTAAACACTAAAACTATGCATGTTTGGGGCCTCACCTTTGGCATTATCTTCTGGTTCACAAGGCTGCGATTCATCCACTGAATCAGAGAACTGAATGTTACCAAGGTGTAGAAGTCCTGCTAATATCTGCAACATAAACAGTCATTTGACTTCTGGAGTTCAGATTCACCTATCATTTTTAGAGGCATCTGGGTTCCAAATACCTCAGAAAAACAGCACAGCAGCGGAAACATTTGTGCAAATATGCAAGCCAGAAATCATTTGAAAGACGCTGCTTATATTTTTTTAAGCCACTAATTTAGTTCCTGATCCTGCACTATTCAAGTAAATGAAAATTCTACCATTTATTTCAGTGAGAGCAGAATTGAGCCATTGGAAGTTAACATTTACACTTTAGATAGGATATCCTAACCACAGGTGCTATATTAAGAACTACTATTAGTTTAACATCTGTCTACAACTTACGTTGAACACTGTGGAACAAATACAGTCAACTGCTGAAATGAAGCATTAGAAGCACATCCTCCCTATCGTCCCACCACCCTGCTCTGCTGCTAGCAAGGGCTCTAAATGCAGCTGAACAGATGCCAGGAGTGGGCAGGATCGTCAAAAAGATCTTGGGGAATGCCAGAGGAGAGCCATTTTCCGCACCCACAGACAGAAACGCAGAAGTTGTGGGGACTACTGCAACAATAGCCAAACAGGTTCCACAGTTTTGGGGAGGCAGGGTAGGATTCCTTACCCAGGATTCTCACTCAGGCTTAGGATTTGCTGCTAACAAGTCAAACCCTGCAGTCCTTACTAATGGGAACTTTGCCTAAGAAATCAGTAAGAGATTTGCCTGGTAAGGCAAGGACTGCAGAATTTGGTACTAAGACTGATCACACACCAAACAACCAAATGCATACCAAGATCCTTAGTTTCAAAGATGAGTTTACAGATATTGCAGAGTGTTTTTATCTGACCTTAAAAATATTGTTCTGTGTGGAGCGGTCAATGCCCAAGTGAAACATTGCCTCTCTGGTCACCTCAAAGCAGTCCTCTGGAAAGCCAAACGGGTGTTGTTAAAAAAACAAACACATAAACAAGCCACCCAACACCACTCATCCCTCCAAAACAGCAGTGTAGACAGGTCAGCTGAAATTTTCAGAGCCTAAGGGGTGGGGCACCCCTTTGAAAGTACCAGCTGCAAGCACAAGAACATCTGCTTTGCCAAACCAAAGGAGCAGAAGTCATACTATTAATTATACTACTGCCACTGAGTGACTTAATACTGAACCTTTGTGGGCCCCAGAGGTTAGGCAGCAAGTTGTTGAAGCAGCCAGGTATCACACGAGGTTTGTAAACTTAGCCTCAGAGAAATGCCAAGTACAAATTCTTAACAGTGTAAAGTGAAATCTGAACAGAGTCAAAGTCAGGCAGGTGGCTTTGTGAAAATGGAACATAAATCCAATGTACCAGAGCCCTAAGTCTCTATAGAGTGATTTTTCTTCCTTAAGACCATACTCCTATGGGCCATTAATATTCTACATACAACAGTCTCAGTTGTCAACTTTAAATCTTACCTTCCAGTGTTCTTTCAGAATTTGGCAGCCAGAAGAAATTGGCACCCTCAGGCAGGTTCCACTCCAGTCTTTCATCCTTTGTGGCACCTTTTGTGATCTTGCAACAAAAAAAGAAGACTACTGAATCCTAATATTGTACGAAACATAAATGGCAGAGTGATGATTAGCAAACTGGGAACATACTTAATGGGATGATAACACAAGGTCCAGAAAACTGAATTAAACCATGAGTAAAAAACTGAACTGTTCTAAACAGGAAGTTGCAAGCAGATCTTCTGCCAGATCTAATGGTTCTATCACTAATGTACTTTAGAAATACCTAGATAAATTAATCTAGTACAAACCTGATAAAAAATATGAAAGTTTCTTTCACGCGGGGCCTGATAAGCAACTCTGGTTTTCTCCAATAGAAATGTTTGGATGGAAGCGCTAGTCAGATGTTGTGATCTAGAGAAATAACAAACATGTTAGTATATGCCCGAAAAACAGAAGTCTTATGGACAGCCCGTTGTCACACAGCATGCAAGGTGCCCCATATCTTTTAATACTGTTTTAAGCTTCTGGTGTCTTTACTTAATTTAAGAACTCTATCATAGTATCTTTAATAGATTAGCCATGCAAGTGCAGAGTAGTCCATAGGTACAGTCTTCTGGACTGAAAAGCTATCTTTGCAAGATAGATGTCCTTTCAGTGTTGACAATGTACTAGGTAAATCCAGGAAACATTAATTCATCCCAATATACCAAGGTATGTTACAAAAAACACTCCATTCCATGTTCTGTGGAAGACTCGAGACACACGTTTGCAAGAAGAGAAAGTTGTGAATGTCAAAAACACAACACAACAAAAAACCACCACACAGCTTGAGCATTTTACATAATAATTAATACCTGTTTAATTGAAGCTGGATATATTTTCCAAAACGGCTACTGTTGTTATTCCGAAGAGTACATGCATTTCCTGTGAAGTCACCAGGAGCGGGGGGACACAAAGCATAATTATTCTCCAATAATGGGGAACCAAAAAAAACAGAGCTTGTTTTAGTCTTCTTCTAGGGACACACAAATATATAGGATGATTTGCATGCTGCTTGAGTATTTCAGAGGTGATTTTTTAAAAGAGTAATAATGGGGAATAGTGAAGGTTTGTATAAAAATTAAAAACGCACAAACTGACAATGTAGTCATGGTTTTGTTTCTCCTTACTATTGACATAAAAAAGGACTTTACCAAAAGCTTCCATAACAGGGTTGGAGTCCAGCACTCTCTTCTCTATCCTCTCCACTGTTTCATTGCCTTTAGGAGAGGCAGATGATGCAGCAACAGTAGCATAAAATTTCATAAGACATCGGGAAGTCCAAGTCTAAAAAGAGAATCTTGACAATAAGCCTTTGTCTGCTCTCACATTATTAATTAGATGCAAGTCTGACAAGAGCTTTGGCTATGAGAAAACAACATTGTGCACCTAGTTATTATGTTGAGGAAAGTGATTTTTTTTCAAATGCATGAAACAAGCTTACGTGCCTTACTGGACTAGGTTCTTGTAAGAAAAATGAAGGTACAGCTATTCAGAAACTATAGCCAGAATTGACAGCTATAGTTCACATACAGCTTTGCTTAAGTGCTTTGCTGAGCAGGGATGGACTGTTGAATCAGGGTCAGAGTTAGAAGCTGAACTCCTCAAATCTTGTGGATGTGTTGATACAATTTAGCGTAAGCCCCACGTGTCAAGTCCTAACAAAGGGCCAAACTCAGCTATCCTTACCTTGATCTCAACAGGAATTTTACTCTATTAAGAACTACAAATATGGTCCAGAGAGCAGTTTTACTGAGCATGGCACATTTGAATTTAACCAGAGTGCATTCCCCTCCCATCTGTCTTCCCCCATACTATAATGGCTTACAGTTGCCTGCTGTATTTTGTACCAATTGCATTGTGTTTCTCTCTTCCTTCTTCAAATTAGAGAGCTAGCTGAAATGCTTTGTACCACATTAAAGTCTCAGAACATGCTAACAATGTCAGAACAGTGGCCCGATTAAAAAGGGGAGGCAAAACAAACAAACAAACAAACAAACATCCTATGCTTACCTTTCCAGCACCACTTTCACCACTAACAATTATAGACTGGTTTATCGGTTCAATCTGGCTTTCAACATTTCTGTAGGTCTGTTCAGCCACAGCAAAGATATGAGGTTTCAACTCCTAACAATAAAGAGTGTGTATGTATATGTATATATATATATATATAGTTTGAAAAGGAAAACAGTTATGTTTAACACAAAGCAGATTCTATTACTTAATCCTCACTTGCCCAGTGAGGTACGGAAATAGAACTGAACAGAAGAATTTGGGCCCAGGAAACAGAAGCAGAAGGATAAACTATGTAACCTAAGGCCACACAACAAGGATTAGACCTCAGGAGTTTCTGACTAAGCTTCATGCTCAGGTCACTAGAACATACTGTCTCTTCTTCTAGTTGATTGAAGAATTTGAGCACAGAAATATCAATCACATCTTTTCTTCTACATAGAGCTCTATGTTAGGTTCTAAATCTAAAATTTGAGATGCGCACTTAACTATACACTATAGGAATGAACCTGGCAAATAGAAGAGTGCGAGAGGAGAAGGCAAAAATGCACAAGAGCCCTGGCTGAATAAAGCATATAGTTTTGCTAGAAGTGGTTCTAACACAGCTGGTTTATTAGTTCAGATTTGGATGACTTTTCATCTCTTTTGCTTTGTAAGAAGAACAGTCATCACCGTTACCTGAGGGCGAAGTGCAGTGTGGTACTCTTTCATAAGCTCAGGCATATAGAGGTGACAGACAGGTTGAAATGGATTTACAGCCACAAGACTGCAGCCAGCGTATGTATAAAACACATCTACTGTGTACCTTGCTTGCAGACATTTCAGTACTGAAATAAACATACGTTCTATTAGCAATTATTGGAAACAAATGTATTTTGTTTTCCCCAGTCCTATTTGTACAAGAAATATTTAGGAAATACTATCTTTTCTGCCTATTCACAGATGGATTTAAATCTGATTTTTACAGAGTTTGAGAATAGTCAAATAAGATAATTTCTAGCATGTCTACCATGAATAAATATTCATCTTATAGGTTCATTTCTGGTCTTAAAAACAAAAATTTAAAGAACACCAAATTTGACTAATTAATTTCTTATGCATTCTCATTATAGGTTCCACATACACAGCCCTGGAGATTGAATCATCTATTCATTCACAGAAAAAGGAGAAAGCATTGGAGAATTCTCCACATTGTACCATCAATATGCCTCATCTCAGTCTACAAAGGACCATTTTTAAAGTTAAGTGAAGACTGCAGTTTCCAAGCCTGATTTCAATCCTTGGCTTCTCTGCAAAGACTATTACAGTAAGAGGGCTCTACTGTTTGTGATGGTGTCTTGAGATAAGGAAATCTGTTAATTGAAACTGGACAGAGCACAAAATCCTTTTGCATAGCCATGTAAGAGCCATCCAGTAACAACTGCCAACCACTACCAATTCAAGGTGTATTTGAACCAGTGACATAGGTGAAAGGTTTTTTGTTTAAATCTTAGTTCCATGTTGCTGAAAGACCGGTGTGGGTTCAAAGCAATGCTAAAGAATATTGATCAAGCCAAGTTTAAAGACTGATCTCAAGTCAACAGAAATCTCTCCATTGATTTCAACAGGCTCTGGATCATGTCCACAGGTACTATTTTCATGCTAGTATTACAGGGATCAGAATAGCTGACCACAATATATTTTGTATGCAGTATTGTTGTAGCTGTGTTGGTCCCAAGATATTAAAGAGGCAAGGTGGATGAGGGAATATCTTTTAAATATATTGAAGTTGATCCAATAAAAGAGATTGCCTCATCCATCTTGTCACAGTATATGCTGACAGTTATTTGTTATGTGAAGTGAAGTAAGCTTTCAGGAGATGCCCCAGACGGCCACAAACACTGACCTGTTGTTGTGGTTACAGGATTAACTTTGGTAAGGTCATCTAAGAGATGCAATTTATCTTCATCACTCAGAAAAGCTTTAACCTCTTCTTTGAATGAGTCATTAAGCTCATTCTGGATGGCAGGATCTCTCTTTGGGCCATTCACCTGGAAAGCACATATAAAAGATAACACCTGTAATAGACTCAACACCAGGGTGGACTTTCACCTCTTCAACTGCAGTTTAAAGTCCCTTTCCAGTTTCCAAATAAGACAGATTTGATTTAAGCTCAGTCTTAGCAAGAAACAAATAATTCAGCACATTTTTACTATTGGTCTGACCTCTCTGCCCAGGAAGTATTAAAAAAAAATTATTATATATCTCACTACCGTGGAAGTTGTGTTTCAGTCTTTAGACATGCTTTAGAAGGTGTTTATTTGATGCATGAGAGATCGTGAACTAATGACAATTTTTATGGGCTTAATTCATCCCTGGTGTAATTCTGACTCAAGAGGAATGACACCATGGATAAATGTGTCCCTAGATGTATAGTTCTTGATGTTGGCAACTTTGTGATTCTTTAAGAACAAATACACTTACACAGTGGTTCGTGACCAGGGGATTTTGACTCCTCTAAACACCATATATTCAACGCAAGATCTGACTCAAGGAAATGGCCTATTAGCCTTAATGGCTGGTGCACAGATCATATTAGTTGTCAGAGGTACTAAGGCTAATGGAGGTTCCCCAGGCTTGCCTTTTTTGGAGCCAAACAGTGCTCCACAACTATGGTTTTGCAATGTGTATATATAGTGCCCATTTGGAGAGGTTATGCTATTTTGTCTGCATCAAACCAGAATCTGGCCCTCTACAAATAACTTATTTAAAGGTTTTAATCTGAGCCTCTGGGCTCCAGTGTCCTTGAAAACACTGTTTGGAAGGTCACTTGTTTGTTAAGCGTACATAATGAAAAGCGTAGCCAGTACACACAGGTTTCAGGTGCTGGGTTGTTTTTTTTTGGGCAAATGCTGATTTTTGCATTCCTTCCTGCAAGCGTTCTGTCTCCCCCCCCACCCCCCCAAATTATGTAACTATCATTAGCGTTACAAGTTGACCACATCTTAACACGCTGTTTTTTGTTTATACCAAAAAGCTGCTGCATACAGTTTGCAAATACAATTTGTTAACTGACCTCAGCAGCATTCAAATGGACAAACAACATCCTCTAGACACCACTTGCACATATGGCTCTGCAGGAATAATATGCAAACTAGAATAATAATTCCTCAAAATTAATATATGCACTTGGGGATCTCCAATTTCTTTCCAGATTGGATATAACTGGATTTAAAGTCATGCACAATTCTATAGCATAAGAATAAAAATTTGCTTACCAGTAAAGTTGAATGAGACGAGAGTAGGTCAGATGTTGACATGAACATGGTTTTCATTATCATACTATGTATGAGCATTAAGGGACCCAATGAGTTCACAGCTGGACATGCTGAACTACACAAAGCCAAATACTGCTCTTCAGATAATACTCGAGTTTTGTTGTTGTTGATTCCCCTATCTGTGGAACAATATGCATTGTTCTCCCCCGGCCCTCTCATCGGTTTACTGTTTAATGTTTACGGTAGATAAATGGTTGCAAACTCCATTGCAGAGCTGGCTGTAATAAGTCCTGGAAAAGGAGGCTTTTTTGCTGGCTTGTATTAGTTAGCCCAACTTCCTTGCATTCACTTTCATCTATTGATATTTATGGCTAAAATAAAAAATATGCAAGAATTGGCTCAACTCTTAAAATCCAGGCAGGAGGAAAAAAGTGCACATTTTAACAATGTCATTGAAAATTTAATTTGAAGAACGATGATTAAAAAATAGTGATAGTCTATTGTAATCCTGCAATTTCTAGTTGTAGTGGGCTACATCCCTGAATCCAGGCCTACCTAAATTAATGAATTGCCAGTACTCACTAGTCTTACTCATTTTATCAGCCATATATAAAAAACAATCTTTAGTAACACAGATCAAAACCTTAAACTTATCAAATCTACTGTCTTGATATTACCCAGAGGTTATTCACAAATTTGTGGAGCAGCTGCAGAGCAACAAGGGAGGGGGAAAGAGGAAGAGCATAGTTTAACAATCTCCGATTGTGGATTACAAATCAACTGAACCTCAGCCCAGCATTATTTTATGACAAAAAGTTTAAATTAGTGAAGACGGACAATATTGGGGCTTTTACCTGTTTTGGCATATTATTCAGTTGTCTGATGCTGTGTATGGGTGAATTTGTAAAGCTCTAGAAACAGGACTCCTGCGTAGGAGAGTTGATACCGTGAAGGCCTTCAGACTGGTGGACCTTGTTCAAGTCAAAGTGGAGGTCCTAAAAGAAATCAACTTTGTTATTTCAGAAAGAGTAATGCAAACCACATAATTCTGCACTGTTTTCCTGGAGAAGAGACTCAAGCCTGAACTCTAGTACGGATGTAATGTTCTTCTCTAGAGAAGCCAGCCCCACCAGAATAAGGAGTTAGTTAACAATGGAGCTAGCTAGTTTATACATGTTGTTACACTAACAATAAAAATACTTGGTTTGCCCTCAGCCAACCACTTTTAAGCAACTTGATCTGTAAAGGGATTTAAAAAAAAACCAAAAAATTAATACTCCCAACATCTGTGCTCCACCAAGTTCTACTACCAAAGAGGGGGCATAAAATATTTTCAGCCATGGGGTTGAAAGAAGCAAATTGAATGAGTTTTAAGTGTCCTAACTAGGAAACATGCAGAACCAAGAACTACTTGGCTTTAGATGCACTCCTCACTTAGATTTCAAAAGAATTAGCCTGTTAAATACATTTTTATTTAACTACTTAAACTTACAGAGCCTTACTTATAGAGCTATTTCTTTTGGGCTCATTTAGATTCCAAGTGGCCCATTAATCCTGCCCTCCCCTTTGTTGCTTTAATTGGGCCAAATTCATCACGAGTGTAATTTCAGAGGTTCATTGACATACGCTAATGATCAGTTTGGCCCATCATCATCAAATCATTCATCACCAATAGAGCAGTGTCAAATCTAGTCTTGACTATTTCCAGCAAAGGAGATTCCACTATCTGTCCTGGCATCTTGTTCCATTGTCCCAAACTATTCTTACAATTCAGTTTGCACTAATATTTTAACATGTGTTCTCTACAGAAGTGTAGACTTATAGCTACTGTTTGATCACTTCTAATCCATTTCATCCAGCCAGACCACCAGACAAGAGCTTCCCTCAAAGACACCTTTGTACTAAACTAAGTTGCAGGTGCCCTCCTGTCCTTCACCCAAACTTCCCAGTGAACATGAACTTGTTAAGCTCTTAGGATTCCCAGCCAGGTTCAGAATCAAGGTCCTTAAAGTTGCAGAATGCTGTGATATCAGACCAAAGTGTCCTATTTTTAACAAATTCTGTATTTCAGTGCAACTTTCATTATGTGTTTAAGTCTCAGAAGTCCAGGTGAATAACTTGATTGCATTATGCATAACCAATTCTAAAGCATAAGTCATTTTGGCCCAGATCCTCAAAGGTATCTAGACACCTAGCTCCCATTGATTTAAGTAGGAGTTAGGCCCCTCAATGCCTTTGTGGAGCTGGCTTAAGAATGCGGGGTCAACAAATTCAATTCTACTTCCACTGAAAATAACAGGATCTTTGCCCTTTACTTGAGTGGAAGTAGATTCATGACCTAACTGAGTACATTTATTTAGGTGCATCTCCTCTAATTCTCTTTGTACTCACTGAAGGAAGAAAAAAAAATTAAATAAAGCTTCTTTAGGAAAATGAGTTGTGTGAACATTTATTTACTGCAAAATCAGCTACTTGGTTTCTCTTGGATTAAGAGGAGTAAAGCATAGTGTAAATTCCTCACAATGAAAATAAAGTTTATCTTCATTCCTGCGGTTACATCAGATAGGAAAAGTTAGTGGGTCTGATAGCATCAGTGATGTCAGAGCATTTCTGGATAGGGTGCGACTCTTGAAAGTTAAAGCAAGACATACTTGCTCATTACTGGCTTTATTCTGCTTCCCCTGAAATCAAAGGGAGTGTTCCTATTTACTTCAATTGAAGTAAGGTTAAGCCATATTTTTTGCTTTCTTATTCTAGCAATGAAAAAGGATTGATTGTCTAGGCTTCAATAACTGTATCCGTCCTACCACACATCCTAGATGGGTGAACTGCCGTGGTTTTAGTTTCATGTAAGTGGTGTTTAAAGATAAGACTTGTTTAAAAAAAAAAAAGTATTTAAAAAAACCTTTTAATAGTACAGTGATCCTTAATTTGAAAGATCCAGAGAGCAACACATGTTATTAACAGTTATGCATGGAACTGTTATACCCCACTCTGCACTTCTCTACCTCCTTCCAATCTTAAAATATGTAAGTGCTTTACAAACTACTGATTTAAATCTTACAAGCTGTTGAAACAGGGCAGGAGAGAACAACTCCAGTTTACAGATATCAAACTAACTGCCCAAGGTCACACAGCAAATCTGTGACAGAACCAAAAATAGAATCCAGATCTGACTCCCAACCCCATATTTTAACTATTAGACTATACTTCCATCCAAGCACAACACCAAAAAAAATAGCTTTTCCTGACTACACTGGAGACATCTATTAGAAAGTGATTTTTAAAAAGGGGAGGGAGTTTGCATCATCTTCTGCATTGTGTTCAAAGTTATTTGTTTTCTGCCTTCAATTAATCTCTGAAAGAGGTTTTATTTAAAGTTTTCCCTGATTATGTTTCTATTCAAACACACACGATTTAACCTTGACTGAAATGATCTCTTTGCGGTCTAAGAATTCTAGAGTAGGCTTTGCTAGCATCTAGTTTAGTGTTAACCTTCCCATAAGCAAAAGGACATGTAAAATAAGCAGACAACCCCCTCTAATCCAGATTTGCGACCAAAAGACACTTAGGAAGGAAACTCCATTTCTACAGTAAAAAGAAAAGGAGAGCTTGTGGCACCTTAGAGACTAACCAATTTATTTGAGCATAAGCTTTTGTGAGCTACAGCTCACTTCATTTCTACAGTGCCTATATAAAGTTAAAGATATAGTTCTGTAGTGCATAAAACAAACTATTTATCTAATCAAACACTTATCTAATCTACAGATGTATGCTGGATGCTTTATAGTAAAACAGTTAGCCTTATTTTTAATTTAAGGCATTATTGCTGATTTTAAATATGATTTTTAGGCTTTCAAGGGCACCCCAATGACCTTCTGAAGTTGAAAACTGTTTTTAAATGCAGTCAGTGAGTGGTTAATTCTGTGGATTGGGCTGAAATAGAAAGAGTTTACACTCTACGCATCTAGAAAGGTCTACAGCAGAAAAGCGTAAAGCAGAATGGCTATACCACCAATCTCTTCCTGATCTCAGAATGCGTAAAGTGGAGAGGACTGTGTAGAAGTGCAGGGAATAAGGGCGCGTTTGTGCAGCTGGGGGAGAGAATTTGACTCAAACACTCCCATCATTAGAGATAAGGGGCGGGGGAGAAGGAGCAGATCAGATGTTAAACAGGGGAGAGCGCGGGACGTGGGAGAGCGCCGCAAACGTTAAATGGGGGGAGAAGAGCTGGAATAAAATAAATATCCCTAATCTGGGACTCACCCGTTCCACAGGGCGCGCACATGAGACTGCAACCAGGCAGGCGGGCAGCCGGGAAGGAGAACGCGGCTGCCGGGGCCGGGCTGGCCAAGGAAGGAGGAGTTGAAGGCGCAAGGGCGGAGGCTGCAGTTTGAATCCGGAGAAGAGCCCGGTCCCACACCCTGGCCGGGCGCCACCCCGCCCGCAGACAGCACCCAGCGGGCCTCTGGAAAGAAGAACGTGACCGCCTTGGCCTTGCCTGCCGAGCCCAGCGCTTCTCCCGGCCGGACTGATTCAACCGCGGCTAGAACCACGTGGCGCCAGGAACACACGTGTCTCTGGTGCCGGCCCTCGCCCTCCCTGCTGTGGGGTTTTTTGAAGCAGGAGGAAGGGGGTGGGAACGATGCTGGCATCGATCTCTGGAGTAGGGGCTGGTGGGGCTCTGTGGCAAATCCAGGGGTGTTGTCCTGAATCTTTAAAAGCAGCCCCTAATGCAGAGATGCTAACAACATTTTCTCCCACTTCCTCCTCCCAAACTTGTATGTGCCTGCATCGGTCATGTACATACATACGCTAAGGGAGAGGGCATGTGGGTGTTTTGGTACCACAGGGGCGTGGCAGTGGGGCTTTCTGTCTCGCAGTGTCATTTAACTGTGCCTCAGTTTCTCCGTCTGTAAAATGGCAATCTCTGTCCCAGGGAAGGATCATTCGAGAGTCTGAATTCATTAATATTTGCAAAGTGCCTTGATAGAAGTGCTACATAATTTTTATAACCTTTTCTGTAGTCTCATTTTCAAGAAATACCACATTTAAAATGTCATTTCCCACTCCTGCAAAGACTTAAAGTACATGCTTACCTTTAGGCCATTTTCTTCAATAGGACTGTCACGTGCATGAAGTTGCATGTGGCTTTGTAGGATCAGGGCCCTAACTATTGACAGTAAATTATCACTCAGAACTAAAAATACAAGTGTTTTTATTTTAAGTGCTTATCTTTAACTCTCGCACTTCAAAATAATTTAAAAAAACCCAATATTTCACATAAAATCTAATGCCTAGACCACGTGAAACCTCTGTATGTCAACAACAAAGCTCAAACAACTAATTTATAACTTCAGCATCAAACCCTCAACCATCTTATTCCATAAACACTCAGAGGCAGGGGAAAAGTTGTTTTAAATGGTCTGCTTATGTAAGACAACAACACCTACTCTGGGTGGCTTTGGGGGGGTCACTGATGGGGGGGCGGATGGACCAGGGGAACAAAATGTTCAGGGGCAGCCAACAGCAAGACTGGGAACTTCTGGTGTCTCAAACAGCACGAGATTATAGGCCCTATAGGGGATCAGGACTCAGAAGAAGAGTTTCCACCCATTTTAAACTGCACAACAATCCTGTTTTTTGAGCATCAGGCCTATATCCCATTCTTCTGTTTTGCAGGATATTAAGGAAAGTGTTAAAAAAACTCAGTGCAGAACAAAAATTAGGACGGGGGAGGTACTAGAGTAGTTTTCTACCTAGTTGTCTCCTCCAAAATGAAATGTTCCAGTATTTTGTGAAAACATTATTTTAGAGGTCATTGTTATAACGGTATATCAATTTACCAAAACAGTAACTGCCAAATTCCACCTATGGATGCTCATCTGCAATTCCCATTGACATTAAGGAAAGCTGACTTCAATTGAAATTGAAGGTACATATCTGAGGGTGACATTTGACCCTAAAAAAGCAAGTGAATTGCATCTCTTTGTATTTACAAGTGTATGGGGATTTAGGCAACTCTTATATTCTCTGGTTTCAGAGGAACAGCCGTGTTAGTCTGTATTCGCAAAAAGAAAAGGAGTACTTGTGGCACCTTAGAGACTAACCAATTTATTTGAGCATGAGCTTTCGTGAGCTACAGCTCACTTCATCAGATGTCTCTGATGAAGTGAGCTGTAGCTCACGAAAGCTCATGCTCAAATAAATTGGTTAGTCTCTAAGGTGCCACAAGTACTTCTTTTCTTTTTGCTTATATTCTCTACCTCCCTTGCCAACATTTGGAAAGTATAAAAGGGACATTTAAAGAGAAAAATAGAGACATTTAAGAGAAAAAAAAGTGTCTTTTAATAACAATGCTTTGCATTTCTACCGAGTATCTTGCATCCAAGAATCTTAAAATATTTTACAATCTTTAAATAATTAAACAGCAGAAAATCCTCATTATGTAGCTCAATAAACCGCTAGATTGGATTGGAAGAGATTTCTGGAAGAAAAGAGTGAAAAAGTAAATATTTGGGTTGCACCTAAGAGGGACAGTGGAGATATATTCCACACCTGCACACTCCCTAATCCAAAAAACTGTATGTAGTGGTAAATAATCAGGTATTGTCCTTTATATGAGTAGAAAGTAGGGCATGGCTCCTCCCCCCCATTTGTTTTTCGTGGTGGCAGCTTTATACTAAATAGAGAAGAGGTTATTAGCCAACTGTGTGTTGAATCAGGCAATAAAGTAAAGCAGACTGGTTCCCTTAATGGTGAAAATGTTTGGAGGAAACAGAGTCCTCATTTACCTCTCTAGATGTGGATTTTGGCAGGCTACTACCGGAAGTAAAAGCAAGCAGAAGAGAGAGAGAGGGAAGAAGAACTTCATTTAACAAGCAAATTCCTTTCCGCACAGAGAAGGCTCATGGTGAGAATCTCCTGCATAATAAATGTCAGAGTCACAGAAGTTATAGAAATTATTAAAATAAACCGTTATTATTTTTCATATGCTGGCTAATGCCTGAGAGCTCTTCCAAAATTACTTGGTATCTATCATCTCTTGTGGGATGTCACAAAAGTGTAAAGAAAGGAAACTACTAGATGGAACCATTGCTTAAAACAGTCTTTGAACTCATTTTATTTAATTGACTTAATGTTATATGATGCAATATTTTGGTTAATTTATTCCTGTTATTTATCTAGTGCTATTTATGTGCATGGTACTTTACAGAGAGAGAAGAGAGCACGCTTGCCCTAATGCCTTAAAATCTAAATAGACAAAATACAGACAAACTAGGAGGGCCAGGAGTCCAATACGAAAATGAAGTGATTGATCAGTTGAATTTAGCTGTATCTTGGTATGCTATATATTTGCAGTGTTCTTTGTTGTTATTTCTGTGAATTTAAATTAAAGAATTATGAGATTAAGTAAGGCCCCAATCATGGAAACACTTACACACTTTCTTAACTTTACTGCCATGAGTAGTTCATTTCAAAGGAACTACTCACGAAATTAAAGAGACAAGGTGGGTGAGTTAATATCTTTTATTGCAGTTTTCAGAGGAACAGCCGTGTTAGTCTGTATTCACAAAAAGAAAAGGAGTACTTGTGGCACCTTAGAGACTAACCAATTTATTTGAGCATGAGCTTTCGTGAGCTACAGCTCACTTCATCAGATCTGATGAAGTGAGCTGTAGCTCACGAAAGCTCATGCTCAAATAAATTGGTTAGTCTCTAAGGTGCCACAAGTACTCCTTTTCTTTTTATTGCAGTGGTTCTCAACCAGGGGTACGCAGAAGTCCTCTGGGCGGTACATCAATTCATCTATCTATTTCTCTAGTTTTACAACAGGCTACATAAAAAGCACTAGGGAAGCTAGGACAAACTAAAATGTCATACAGACAATGACTTGTTTATACTGCTCTATATAATATAAACTGAAATGTAAGTACAATATTTATATTCTAATTGATTTATAATTATATGGTAAAAATGAGAACATAAGCAATTTTTCAGTAATAGTGTGCTGTGAGACTTTTGTATTTTTATGTCTGATTTTGTAAGGAAGTAGTTTTAAGTGAGGTGTAACTTGCAGGTACACAAGACAAATCAGACTCCTGAAAGGGATATAGTAGTCTGGCTCTCAACCTTTCCACTGTTTTTACTGGACCAACTTCTGTTGGTGAAAGAGACAAGCTTGTGAGCTTACACAGAGCTCTTCTTCAAGTCTGGAGTAGGTTCTGAGATCTGAAAACAAGCTCTGAGTATGGCTCAAAAGCTTATTTCTTTCACCAACAGAAGTCGGTCCAATAAAAGCTATTATCTTATATCTAATATCCTGGGACCAACACGGCTACACCACCACTGCAAACACAGTAATAAAGTTAAACATGTGTTTAAGGCCTAAGAGAGCAGGGGTGGTGAATTATTACAACATGCTGTGGATGGAGATAGAGCTAGTTTCAAAAGTATTTATAGTGGTAGGGAGACAAGGTGAAATTGATTATTTAATACTTAGTCCTGCCATGAGTACAGGGGACTGGACTAGATGACCTCTCGAGGTCCTTTCCAGTTCTAGGATTCTATGATTTATTCCTATTTCATAATCCTGAGGCATCATCTTCTAAGGAGCATTTGACAACAAAGTTTGTGCTGGATAAATTTTCTAGGTAAAGAAAAGAGAAAACAGAGATGGTTGCTAAAGGTGAAGGCTCCAAGAATTTTAGCATGACAGCTGTCAATGTACATCAGTGCCCCTCAGAATTTGTGTTTGATTAAGCTGCTTGAATCTTTTTTTTTAAAATGGTATTAATGGAAATGTAAACTAATATGTTTGATATGCCTTTTTAAAATCCATTTTTGTAAACTTTTGCTGGGTTTGATCTACTAATTTGAGTTAATGCATGTTGAAATCATTCTGCTTGCCTGGCTTCATCAACTAGTAAGCTTTCAAATTTATTATTTAACATTATATGCAAAATTATTGTTAGTGCTTGTGAAAAATGAGGGATTAGCTTCACTGAAATGTTCTGTATGTATCCATAAAACAAGTGAAGCATGGGCAGGAGCAATGCTAATTTTCCCACCAATATGCCTCCAGTGTAACCTAGGTCCTTCTGAATGCTGCTCCACACAGGCCTATATGGAACAGCTTGCAGAACTGGGGCCTTAAGAGGATACTTCAGTCAGTTTCTATTGTATTTGGTTTCTTCATTGAGAATGTAAACAAAGGTGCAAATTGTGATGTTTCTGATGTGGACACGGGCCACAATCTTCCAGACTGTTTTGTGTTGGCAGATCACTGCACCTGGGTGGAGTAACTTGCAGGTTCAGAGTCTTCTCCATGAAGACCACTAGTTTAATCCACACATGCCGCCGAACAGCTGTCCAATAGATAACGACAGCTTTTTTGTTGCAGCATATTTAATGCCTCTAAATGTATTCTCTAAAACAATAAATGCTATGAGACTAGTTACATATATATTTTAACATTAATAACTTTCAGAAAAAATCCTTTGGTGTAACAAAACTATGTTTAAAAATACTGCTTCTAAATGTCTCACTATAACAAAGCAAAATTTGTATGCTAAACCTTGGGCATAAATCCTGCAGACACTTACATATGTGTTTAACTTTACTACTGTGAGTAGTCCCAAGTTAAGCACATACATAAATGTTTGCAGAAGTGGGCCTGTTATTGTGTGGGGTGGGGAGCGGAGGGGAGGGGGGAAGGAGGCTTTTATTTTTTATTTTTTTAATAGATATTTTAAGAATCATTAAAAACCAACAAGATGGCCAAAACACTTCTTATGACATTGCATCATTTCTTATGGGAAGCGTATGTTTTGGGAGGCAAAAAGAATTCACCTGTAACTAAAATTAAGTTGGTACTTATGAAAATCATTTTTATTTAATATGTCTTATGTTTCCATATGTAAAAGGAAGCGGAGCGTAAATTAAACACAAACTTGCAAAACATTCTTGCACTACAAAAATTAATCCTAGTTTACATTTTGAATTGCATAGGAAGAAGAATGTCACAAAAGCTGCTGAAAGAAGCCTTTATCAGTAACTTAAATGGAACGAGTTTTCTAGAAATTTCAGTAGGTTTAACTCTAGCTCCACTGTGTATAGCTTGCAGAGGTTTGCTGTTAATTTTGTATAATCTGCACAATGGAAGACCTTTACATTCAAGAAAGTATCATCTACTACTCGACTTTACAGTGCTAGTAGTTCCTTTTGTGCTCAGCTGTACAATTTTGTCCCCTGTACTCCCTCTTTTGCCAATAACTATTGGGGCCTTCTGTGCAGGATTATTTTATAAAATATACAACAGACGAAATCATTGTATCAGGACTCCTCTGAAGCAAATCATACATGATTTCCTGAAGACTAGCTTAGAACCAGACTACATTCCATCAATAACAGTGTTTCGTGTTTATGTCAACATGTTAACTGCAATCAACATTCTAGCAGTGGATTTTCCACAGTACCCCAGACGGTATGCTAAAACTGAGACCTATGGAACAGGCGCTATGGATTTTGGAGTGGGAGCTTTTATTTTTGGTAATGCTCTTGTTTGTCCTGAAGTTAGACAAAAAACAGGTGTGGTGCAATCCAAATTCTCCTGTCTAGCAAGACAGTTGTTATCTGTTTGGCCATTAGTTTTTCTTGGCTTGGGACGACTGATCAGTGTTAAAGCTGTAGAGTATCATGAACATTTTTCAGAGTATGGAGTGCACTGGAATTTTTTTTTCACTTTAGCAACTGTGAGAATGACTGCATCACTACTTTTAACTCTATTTCCAACCAACAAATCATGGATTGTTTCTATGATTCTTGCTGTATTTTATCAGCTTATTCTTGACACTACCCATCTGAAGATGTTTGTTTTATATGGGAGTGATGGCAAAGATACAAGGGTTGGATTTTTAAATGCTAACAGAGAAGGAGTGTTCTCCCTTTTTGGTTATCTGGCTATCTATATGGCTAGTGTGCAAGTGGGGTTATATTTGTTAAAGAAGAGAACTTTAGTCAAGGACTGGATTGAAGTAATATGTTTCTTTCTGCTGACAGTTTTCATACTCTTTATATTTCTTCCTATGTCTCAAGTTTATGTTGAGCCTGTGTCCCGCAGGATGGCTAATCTGCCTTTTTGCATCTGGATAGTTGCTCAGTGCCTGATATTTTTAATCTGTTTTTTAGTGACTGATCTTATTTTGGTGTTTACAAAACTTCTGGTAAATGGGTCTCGAGTGCCTTGCTGTTGGAATTTTACACAACCACCTAATACAAATACAAAGCACGATTCAGAGCCCACATCTATCAAAAGAGAAAGACAGTGGCTAAGTATTTGCATAATTAATGCTATTGATAAAAATCAGTTAGTTTTTTTCTTGCTAGCAAATGTTATGACTGGCATAGTGAATATGATGATCGATACAATCCACAGCAATGCCACATTTACCTTATTTGTGCTACACTTGTATATGTTTACTAACTGTTTAATTATGTATATATTGCATGCAAAAAATGTAATATTAAAATGCTGGTGACTATTGAAACTACTTGTGTTCTAGTACTTTGTATCTTAAGTGTACAAGTAAAATTTATATTTTGTTATCCATGCTCAAGTGATAGTTTTAATGGAAAATACAAATTTTGTCTTAGATTTATTTCTGTGCAAACACGTTGGTTTGTAGTATACTGTGTATTTATGATTTATATCTAGGCTTGGCAGGATTCAGTTTAAAAAAAAATTTTGACAGCTAATATCAGTGTTTATTTTTAAGCATTTTCCCTATGTTTACCAATTTAAATTTCAGGTGTGCAAAATTATGGGTTTTAAGCATTTTTTTTTTTGTATTTTTATCTATTTAAATTTTCACAATTGCGGGAAATTATGGAGATCAGACATTGGGGAAGGTCAGACAATCATTTAATGACAGTAGACATTGAGATTCAAGAAGTTAAAGCTTTATAGCTATTAATGCACAAATTGTCAACATAACAGAACTTACTAAGTAAATATCCTTAAATCAAACTAAGTTTTTAAGCAGCATTTTTCTTACTATGCTTTTCTGTAAATTTCAACTATTATTGATGGAAATATTTTTTGTTGTTGTTGATTTATGTTCTGACAGTGAAATTGACATTTACTGGAAAAAAACCTAATCCTTCCAGGTCTATTTTTACCAAATGATATCATCACCCAGTGAAATTTATGGAAAATGTTAACACTTTTTTAAAAAAAATAAACACCTTATTTACATTTCTGGATCTCTTCATTTTTAAAAATACATTTTAAAGTATTATCAACAAACTGTTTATTGACCTTTGTCTTGATCTTGCAAACACCTGTGCACAAGAGTAACTTTACACATTGAATACAATAGGACTATTCACATGTGCAAGTGTTTGTAGGTTTGGGGCCACTGAATGTACATTAACAGTTATTCCTGGATAAGGCCCTGGTATGAATAAGGTATTCGAAACAATTATTTTGTAAAAGGAAAATTTTATATTGAATAAATGAATATATTAAAAACTGTGACTCCAATCCAGCAAAGATTAATTTTTTGAGTTAATCATGTGCATTAACTGTGCTTAATTGACAGCCCTAATTCATAGTACAATTTTCTGATAACCAATAGTACATATTTATTAAAAAGGATTCAAGCGTTACTTTAGGTGGCAACCAAACTAAGGCCTCAGTCATAAACTCAGAGTGACTCACGTGTATTAATGGTTGGGAGATTTGGAGCCTAAGGCCCGGATCCTACAACGACCTCTGCCTGGGTGCAGGATAGGGATGTATGTGGGTATGATAAAGTTGAATTGTCTGTTGGTAAAAAAAGCAAACTACATCTAGCAGGCTGGGCAAGGTATTATTTAAATTGCACTTTGTTGAGCAAAGGTTTAGGTCCTGATCCTGCAACTGGTAGAGTGTAGGAGTACGTCTATGCAGGAATAAAAGACCGGCAGCATAGCCACAGCTGGCCCAGGTCAGCTAATTCAGACCCTCTCGCTTTGTGGGGTTGCAGAACTCAGGCTCCAGCACAAACCCGAACATCTACACAGCAATATTACAGCCCTGCAGCCTGAGTCAGATGACCCAGGCCAACCACAGTTTTTAATTGCTGAGTAGATTTACCCTAGAGGAGGCCCGCTGTATCTGTGCAGTGCCCCACTGACTCTAGTTGGGTTCAAGTCCAGGAACATGCTGTTGATTGCAGGACTGGAGGCTTGGTTTGTAATGAAAAAGACTAACAATTGACCCCTGTAAACCAATAGGATTGTAGTATGCAAATAAATTATGAAATAGGGGATGGGGTTGGCTCTTTTATCTCTGATGTCACAGTCCCAACAATGAACTATTCATAGTAGGTGGAAGATGGCAGAACTCCACATCATGGGTCAGTCACCCATTTTTAAATCTATATAAAGTAAGTCATTCACCACTGAATTAGTGAGAGTACCAGTTAATTCATGTTCCTTATTGTCAATAACAAGCATAACAACTTCTGGCCTGAGGCAATTGGCATAGTTTTTCGGACAGAATGTTTAGTCCATGAATAGTTACAGATAGCTAACCATATTTCATGGGCAGGTTAAAAGAACCAATAAATGCAAAGCAGAGTTCTTTGATTAACAAAGCTTTTCAGGTTAACTCCTGTGTGATGATTTGAGAAGCTAGCACAATATGAACAAGACATTAAATCATTTTTTTGCTTATCACTTTCTAATGAGAAATTAAGTGAGTTTCCAGTCTACAGTACCAAGACCCTGCTGGAGAATTTAGGCTAGAGTACATGGGGCCTTGATAATGATGGTAGGAGAATCTGAGATTGCATTTTGATGTTTGTACACATTTTAGCCGTGGTTTCGGAAATGGTTCTGAACAAGTTTTCTCCTGCCTACACATGCACTCTAATCATGTTCAGCAACAGCTATTGTAGTATCTGTTAGCAGCAACAGCTACTTTTCATGATGTACACAAGGCTGGAGAAGTTACCTAATTTGTCCCAGATGACACTGAAAATAGGTGCCAGGTGGGAATTAAACCTAGTTCTTATTTTAACCCCATCCCACACTCCCATTTTCCCCTCTACCTTTATCAGCAGTCACATAAAATGCAGGGGATTTCCTTTTTAACCCCCAACTTTTTCTCCTTCCCTTACTAGCTTTCTAATTTCTCTTTCACCTTACCCACTTCCTCTTTATATGCCCTAGGAGGGAGGGTACCAGGACTCAAGCAATTTTTTTACTTTCATAACTGATGCTGCAAGCCCAGAGCTGCAAAGCTGTCTTCTTTGGGTGGAGCTCATTAACCTGGCCTCATCTGTCTTCTTTCAAGGGTTGGGGACATGTGTGTATTTCTGGGAGGCAGCCCTTCCTTTCCCCTTAGGCCCAATTTTGAGCAAGGGTGTTTTTCAATTGTGTTAGCTCAAGGCTTAGCTTAATAACCTGACTGAAAAGCCTTGTTAATACTTGTATAATGTAGGCAAATGCAGAAGAGGGCCTGTTAGCGGGTGATAGTGTAGCCCAGTACCTCATCTAGAGCTGGGTTTTAAAGGTGTGAGCTTAGCCTATGCTAGAAAAATCTAATTCTGTATAAACAAGGCAAAGGGCATGCCTGATAGCACAGCTTCAGACATGTTAGTCTGTGTCCTCACTGGCATTAACAGAGTTTTTCAACTATGTTAAGCCAACCCGACTCAGCTAACATGACGGAAAATCCTCTCACCTTTTTTTCCCCCTCAAGACAGGGCCTTCGAGCTGGTCTACACATAAGTTTTACTGGCATAGCTATGTTGGTCAAAGAGGGCATGATTATTTTTTTTTACCAACATAACTATGACCACAAACGCCCTAGCGTGGACACAGTTAAACCAGCATAACTGCTATAGCCAGAGGAACTCCATAAACGACGCCCGTGTAAGGATTTTAATACCCATATAACTGTGGCCAACACTGGAGCATTTTGCTAGTAGTTTTATTGGCATAACCAAACCCTCCAAGTCAGGGGTGTCTCTGGGAGGTGCCTTGGACTATGTTCCCACAGAGGGTGGAGAAGTAGCTGACTCTCCATAAGGCCCCCCTCACGGGGTGTGTACCCCTCTTCAGACAGGGGGCTCCAGGTCCCCTCAGAGGAGGGTGCCCCCCACCCTCTCTCTCTCTTTTCCCAGAGGGTCTCCCCCCGTGAGGGAGGTGCCCCCCTTACCCGCACAGCGGGGAGCGCGTTTCCTCAGCCAGCGCCTCAGGGCGGACGGGAGGGGCGGACCGATCCCGCCTCGCCGGCGCTGCCCCGGCGCCTCTCCATGACCCGGGGCTGCCCCGAGTCCCCTCACACTCCGGTTCAGCGGGCACTATCCCCAATACCCCCGGCCCTGAGAGCGGGGCACTGACGCCCCGCCGGACTATTTCCCGAGGCGGCGGAGGGAGCCGGGCGCTGGGCCCCCGCGGCTATTTGTGACACCTCCGAGGCTTCCCACTCCCCCGGTGAAGGCCGAACCCAGCTCGGAGGCCCGAGGAGAAGGCGGTGGCGGGAGGTAAAGGTCGGCAGGGCTGGGGGCGCGGCCTGGGCGGGTCACTCGCTCCGCCGCCCGGGAGCAGGAAGAGCCCGGGAGCCGAGTGGGTAACAGGGCGGGGGTCTCCTTTCAGCGGCCTAGGCCCGGGTGACGCCGGCGGGTGAGGCTCTCCTTCGGCGAGGGCGCAGGGTCGGGCGGGGGGATGATGGTGGTGGTGGGGGGCGGTTGGGCCGCGGCCTCTCGCGAGAGGTAGGCGGGGCCGGGGTGGCGCTGAGGAGACGCGGTAGCTGGGGCCCGGGCCGTCCGCTGGCTTGTCACAGCGCCTGAGGCTGCGGACTCGCTCGGGAGCCGGTAAAGGCCGCCGCGGGGCGAGCGGGGCGGCCTGACAGGCCCCGCAGAGGGTGACGGGGGCGGCCGGACAGGGGAGGCGGGCGCAAGGGGGCCGGGGAAGGCCCGACGGGAGGGGAGGGCCCCTCTGTCGGGATCCCCGCCCGCCGGCTGGCTCCGGGCTGAGCGGCCCCGGTCGGCGCCCAGGCCGGGGAGTTGCCTGAGCGGGTGGGTCGGACGCGTGGGCCGCAGGCAGCCTCTGGTTCCTCGGCGTGCCCAGGAAGCGGCGGGGGCAGGGCGCTACTGGGCCCCGGGGCGGCGACGCTTTGCTCTGAGCTGGCGGGGGCCGGGTCTCTGCTGGGGGGCCGCGGAGGGAGCGGGCCCCTCTTTCCTCCTCCCGAGGCGGGCGGCGGCGCCCTCGGAAGAAGGGGCCCGGTGGAGGGGAAGGGGCCCCGTCCGGGAGCGGGGGGGCCGGGCTCGGGAGAGAGGAACCTCCTCTCCGCTCCTTACATAACCGCCGTGCCGGGAAGCGCCCAGGTGCTGCACGGGGGTGACCGCCTCGCAGACGGGGCTGCGCCCCACGAAGGGATGGGCGGATCCTCCCGGCCCCCCTGTGTGTGTCAAGGCTTGAGGGTAAAGGCCTATTGACAGCCCGGGCGGATTCTTCTTCTCCCCCCTCCCCCCGGTCGTAGTGATCCCACAGGAAGGGGGTTGAGTCCTAGTAAGCGCTTGATAGGCCTGGGCAGACTTTCCGTGATCTGCCACAGTGCCTCCCCGTGGTTTGGTGACACCCCAATAGAGGGTCAAGGTTTGACTCCTCCCACGTCCCGCTGTCTCCTCCCACAGGCTGTGTCGCATTTCCCAGTCTTTACACCTTACGTCCCATCTCTTATCCGTCTGAGTTTCTTCCAGACCCAGAAACAGTGACCTGAGTACAGCAAATGGGTGTGGGCTGGGCGGAGGGGGTCTTTTGCATTGGTGCCTGGAAAGATGAGATTTTTAATGTACACCCTAGTGTGTTGAATCAGGCGATCTGTTGAAGTGGACTCATTTCCCTGCTGGTGAAAGTGTTTTGTAGAACCAGTGCTCTTATTTACCTCTCCGGGGCTTGGCTGTTTGCAGGCTGAAGCTAGGAGGAAGCAGCAACAGCAGAGATGGCGCGGCTGGCTGCAGTTTGCAGAGACGGGGAAGAGGAATTTCCCTTCGAAAAGAGGCAGATCCCCCTCTACATAGATGACACCCTTACAGTGAGTGTCTGTTGTACAAGTGACACCTAATCTCTATGTATCTAGCTGAGCACCTAGCAGTTACAACATAAACAGACGATATGTTGCAATTCCTAGGCGAGGCCTTTCTCTTTAGACATGCCTCTTAGGCTCCTCCTTTGAGTTCTCTCAATGCGATAATCTTTGGG